AAAAAAAAAAACACACTTTGGTAGATGTATCTCACAGCAATTTCTGGTTAGCAAATTATTTTTTATTTTCTATTGAACTACAAATATATTTCGGGTTGGTATAATGTACTCTAACCCCTTACAGTGACTTGATCATTATGTAATTACAAAAAATTTTTTTTCGTTGTTTTGCTCAAAACAGGGAGTGGGAAGGTCAAACCACTCTTATCCTTAACAATCATTTTATTTTTTTACACATGGGTATATAACAGACGTAGTAAAAACTGTTAACATAGTAAAAATTGACATATGTATGTAAAAGTTTTTGATACACAAACAATATTATTAAAATTATAAGCGTATCAGAATTACTATGAAAAAATTTTTTACAAATAATTATACCATGTTTAAACATAAATCTTTTTGTTCAAACATGGTATTCTGATATTATGTTTAAACATGAACATGATATTATGTTTAAACATGGTATAATTATTTGTAAAAAATTTTTTCATAGTAATTCTGATACTCTTATAATTTTAATAATATTGTTTGTGTATCAAAAACTTTTACATACATATGTCAATTTTTACTATGTTAACAGTTTTTACTACGTCTGTTATATACCCATGTGTAAAAAAATAAAATGATTGTTAAGGATAAGAGTGGTTTGACCTTCCCACTCCCTGTTTTGAGCAAAACAACGAAAAAAAATTTTTTGTAATTACATAATGATCAAGTCACTGTAAGGGGTTAGAGTACATTATACCAACCCGAAATATATTTGTAGTTCAATAGAAAATAAAAAATAAATTGCTAACCAGAAATTGCTGCGACCAAACAAAACTGTAACCCAAAAAACCAAAGTGTGTTTTTTGGATTACAGAGACGGATTTACATTTGTAATATACCATACAGCAAGCCGTTTATATACCAACATTATTGTTTAATAAATAATTCTTACCTCATCGCCGTTGTTCGTATCAAAGATAGTAAATTGAGTATTATCAATTATTTCATTATCTTCGAAAAGTACACTTTCTAAGTCAATGCTATTTTCAGCGATTTCCTGATTTGATATTATTCCTTTAAGCATTTCTAAATTTTTCATCTCGTTGTAATTCCCAATTAATTCACATCTTCCCTGAAACAATAATATATAGGCCTATATGTAAATAAATACAATTGCTTTCGTCTCATTAATACATAAAAACACAAAATATAAACAAATAAATACATTCTATCAAAAATTATTTCTATGTTCAGTACCTATGTTTACATAATTTACTGATAGAAAATTGTTTGGCAGGTTTTTCAGAAAATGATGCAAATAATTCTTCACCAGTTAATTATAGGCCCAGGCATAGTAATTTATTAAAGTTTTAAAATAAATGTTAATATTTTCAATGGCAGTACTCCACAAGTTTACAAAAAAGAGGGAGATATGAAGGAAAAATGTAATAGGGTCAATGTACGGTAGAAAAACCGTAAAGATGGACAAAAGTACAACTTTTCCAAAACTATAGACGTTGGTAACCCCGAATTATATAACATGGAAATTTACAATTGAGGTTTCGTTAAAAGCAACAAATCTGTGGAAGACGATCGAATAAACCACTGAAAAATGCTCTGCAGTTAATTGAAGACACTTGAACTAGAGCAGAAAAAAAAATAAATTAAACGAAAACACATTCATAAAAAATAGTGTTATATAGTAAGAAAATTGTACTACTGTCTATAAATTTTGAATAAATTTTTGATTATAATTCACAGTTGTATATATAGANAGATATGGGAAGACCGATCGGTATTCGTTATTTTACGTTGCTTCTTGTGTATGTTCAGTGAAGTGTTCGTTATCCGAACATCTGTTCGTTGTCCGATCATAAAAATTTTTCGCGAAAGTGTTCTTTATCTGATTTGTTCGTAAACCAATCACCCAGTGTATATATATATATATAGCGCGGAAGACGTCGACATCGACGTTCTACCCAGTATATACTGATCGGATAGTATTCCCTCGAACTTTCCCTTGTAATTGCAGCCTTTTATATTTCTGGTAGAAAGAATTATTTTACGTTTTCTTTTGAGAAAGCGGATTTATGCCGATATCTGCTATTAAAGATCTTTTGAAGAATTGGGAGGATGTCAGAACAATGGTCTTAAAATGGCATCCAAGCCAGATTGAGATTAATTAATAGGCCTAGGGATCTCTATAATTACAATGCTATTAATTACTTCTGAAAAATCATGAAGAAGACAGAATAGCAATCGACATGGGACATATTCTTTAACCCCCACAAACAGAAAAAACATGACTGATAAAAATGCAAGACCGTGTATATATGTATTTTTATTATTACATATGAATAAACGTAGTAAGATAGTATATATTTTTTTATGTTTTAGGGGTCTCTAGAACGAATTAATCAAATTCCCATAAAAACCTATGGTAAATCTATAATTGGTTAACAAAAAGTTCGGATAACGAACAATGTCTTGGAACGGATTATGTTCGTTAACCAATCACCCACTGTATTTTTTATTCATGTGGGTGAAAAGTGATGATTCATTGAACAAAAAACAAAAGAAAGCATAACTAATTGTGATGGTGTTATTTATTGTGATAAGCAATCGTTTTTACATTTATATTTTTTGTTAATAAACTTCTGTATTTTTTTATGGTGGCGGCCTGAGTGACAAAACATATTTTAAGCGAGATCATAATGTCTAGATACTCTTTGTTGTTCTTTATTTTCAAAAATAATTAGAAACAGTGAAAGTAAACAATTTATATATTCACCTTGTTTAATACTAAAATTTTACTCGAAGAGTTTAAAAATTGTGTTTGATGTGTAACGAGAACGCAAATCTTGTCTTTCAAATATTCCGTTATACATCTGAAATAAACAAAATGTTAAAATACATAAAAAATGTATTTAATATTACTTTTAAATATTTACTTTTCGAATATATGTTTTGCCACCGGAACGTCAACAGCACTTAATGGATCGTCAAGGAGAAAAATATCGGCATCCAGATACAGTGCTCTAGAAAACAGAAAAATACAACATTCCGAAAAAATAAATGTACAAAGAAACATTTCACGAGCACAGGAACAAACCTTCATCTATTTTTATATATTTTGAATTTTTCCGAATATTTTGCTTTTTCTTTATAGTAGCTTCTAATCTATACTATGCTAAGATAAGTTAGTAAATTATTAGTAAATAATTAAGAAATTCGGAAAAGTTATCGTTTTTACATAAAAACAGAAAATGGGCTTTCTTCTAATATATTATAATTTTCAATATGCCATTTTAAAAGCAGGAAGAAAAAATCAGGCTTTACGAAATGAAAAATCTCAGAAAAAATAAGATTACAAAACACCAGAAACCAATCTAAAGCAATTTAATCTGACACGCTAAAAAGTTTTAATTTCCTTATTTTCACACAGTAACTTATTTTAAATTTATGAATTATACATACGAGTACAACAGGAAAAGAATTAAGAATTCAGACGCATTCACTCTAAAAGTAAATAAAGTAATGTATATGTTTTAAGAATGTTTGTTTTCAGTATCTAAGAATTAAATTAAGAATAGAGAGATAGAGAGCGTCGTGTATCATAAGAAAGATAAGACGTAATGAAAATTTCATTTATTATTACCGTTTACACTCTTATAAAAGATTCTCAATGCTACCCTCAAATTGAGCTTTTAGCAAGTTTATAGTAATTAAATATAAAAAAAGTTAAAAAAATCTGATAAGAGATGGTGACACACAATTCTGTTTTGTGCATGATAGTCGTCTTTTTAATAAAAATTTATAACAGCCAGAAATATTACGAAACTTTCGTTGCTGGATTTTTTGAATAAACTATGTTGTCGGTAATTAAAACTTAAATTAAAAAACAATATAAATACATAAGTTGAACTTCAAATTTGTAAAATGTTTTGATTAAAGTTAATCTATCTTATTCACATTAAGATTGCGATCTGTATTTTGCAATCATGATACTGTAACGTTAGGATACAGTCTAATTTACCTTGCTAAATTAATTCTTGCCTTTTGCCCACCGCTCATTATCACTCCTCTTTCTCCTACAACAGTCAGATCTCCTTTAGGAAATAAGCTGATATCCTAAAAAACGAAAAAATATAAATAAATATAAACATAAAATAATTATATTTTACATAATCTGCATTTACAACTTTAAACAGAATTTTTATTGATAATCAATATAACGTCAGAAAATGTAAACGAACTGTATACAGTAGCCAATTTAATATAGTAGTAATTTAATATAGTAGCCAATGTTGTTTGTTTGCTTGCAATGTTGCTTAATTTGTGGTCTTTATTTTTCAATAAGTGGTTCTAGTTCATAACTTATTGTAATATTTATTTGTTTTGATCATTTCTTATTGTTTTGTTCTTAATAAGACTATGTCTTTTTATAAAATCGCGCTGCTGTCAAGGGTGCACACGTTAGAAGTACTGTATATGGGGGACATGTCAAGAGCTTCAATTTGGCTCAGAGTATTGGTGCCAAAATCATTCGCACATAAAATTCAAATTTGTAGGTATTCGGAGGTCCAAGAACAGGATCAAATTAAAACACAAAATGGCGACATCTTTCTAAAAACAGGTAAGAGTGCGAGATTTGCGCATTGATACTCGTTGTAAATTTAAAAATGCGAACTTTGCAAAATCGAATTTTGACAAACGAATCTTTGAAAAAACCAATACTGTATTCTCTGGTTGAACATGACCGATTGACCAAAGATATCACGTTTCAGCATAAGAACTTTTTGAAACAAGATGGTGCAAATCGTTATAATGCTATATTAAAAGTAACTTCAGAAATATAATTTGTTTTTGTTTTTACATTTATTAATATATTTACTTTTGTTCGTGCAAAATAAAAAAGTAATTTCGGATGATACAATCGCCAGGATTATTTTTCCAAAAACGAAAAATTTTCGTTAGGCATCGACAAAAATTCAACCCGGGCAACATGCTATGGCAGAAATTTTGACATTAGATCAGTTAATTTCACCGAAAATTATTCGTGGTCCAGGCGTTTTCGGTAAAATTACTACGCCGGCTGGCTGTGGCCGAAACCTGCGAAGTTTAATGATAACGTCGATCCCCGAGTCTCCGAGACATAGTTTTGTCCCAAATATCAGCCTTGCCGTTTTACTTGTTATTCTTAATATCAATAGTAATATTCCTATGTTAATTATTAATGTTATCAATTTTATTACTATAACTAGCTGCAAAAACCCGCTTCGCTGGGTTTTTAAAAAGTAACGATAGTGAAGATTAAGATAATTACATTATAGCCAATCTTACCCGTTTTCACATGGTGCAAGAATTAGGTCCCCCGTTTTAAGACTAATTAGAGACCTGGTCCCGATTCTATTTCTGAACTTCTCCTGTTCACGTCAAGTCAAACGAACTATTTTCAACGTTTCTGGAACGTTTACAATCGTTCTATAATCGAACCAATATTCGAATTTTATGTTCGAATTTAATTCGAACAAATTCGAACAAAACATTCGAAATAGATAGCCACTTTCAATCACTTTCAGCCTCATATCTCCCGCACCCTTGTAGCTATCGAGACGCAACCACCCCTATGCATGAATGGAGACTTGGGGCTACCACCACATAGAAACACCATTCACGTGCGATGTGTAGTTTTTGCGGAAAAGTGAAATATAGGGACATACATGTCCTTTTATATATATATAGATAGATATAGAAATATATAGATAGAAATGGACATGTATGTCCCTATATTTCACTTTTCCGCCAAAACTACACATCGCACGTGAATGGTGTTTGTATGTGGTAGTAGCCCCAAGTCTCCATTCGTGCATAGGGGTGGTTGCGTCTCGATAGCTATAAGGGTGCGGGAGATATGAGGCTGAAAGTGGTTGAAAGTGGCTTTCTATTTCGAATGTTTTGTTCGAATTTGTTCGAATTAAATTCGAACATAAAATTCGAATATTGGTTCGATTATAGAACGATTGTAAACGTTCCAGAAACGTTGAAAATAGTTCGTTTGACTTGACGTGAACAGGAGAAGTTCAGAAATAGAATCGGGATCAGATCCCTAATCAGAAACGGGAAACCTAATTTTTGCATTCTGTGAAAACGGGTAAGATTGGCTATAATGTAATTATCTTAATCTTTACTATCGTAACTTTTTAAAAACCCAGCGAAGCGGGTCCTTGCAGCTAGTATATATATATAGATATATAAAGTTTGATTGTTGTATATTATTTGGCTTTGCCATTTCTTATTTAATGTATATCCTATTGTATTCAAGTAACAACAGAAAATGAAGGTTTCTATTAATCAGAAAAGACAGCAAAGAAACCTTTTCGAAACTAGAATTTTTGGGCTGTTCCATATTTGGCACGCAAATAGCAAGAGCGTCGATACCGTTATAGTGTGACATGTGAGGGTCAAGTCAGTGTGAGAAATGAGTTGCGTTCGTTGTGTACTTAATACATTGAATAGGGTACAGAGTGGGATAAGTTCATTTTACCCTTTATCTTTTTTTTCAGTAACATATTAATTAATTAAGCAACACTGAAAAGCAGGAAAATCTATAAAATGGGAATACAGAAGAATTAAAATGCGACAATATCATTCTCTACATTTCAGGTAGAAAAAATGCAAGGTATAGAGATAGCATTGGAGAGTGAATTTGCAACCTGAATAATTAAAGTTAATTACATAAGTGACAAAATCATAACGGTCAAAATCTAAGCAGAACCAAAAGAACTGGTACTAATTTAAGAATTTATACAATACTACCTCACGTTCAGATGAAGAGATAGAGGAAATATACGAACAGGTAAAATAAATTACGGAAAATAAACACAAATGTTTGTTAATTTTATTAAAAGATTGGAATGCTGTGGTGGAAAATCCAAGAATAAAAAATATTGTACGATGGTATGGATTGGAAAGCAAAAACAGAGAGGAGAACGGTTGTTTGACTTCTGCAAAGAACATAGTGGGGTGATTACAAATACATGGTTTAATTAAAAGCATAAGGGAAGATTATACACATAAAAATATCTTGCAGATAACAACAGATACCAAACAGACTATGTATTAATTAAAGAAAAGTACAGAAATTCTATTAAAAATATAAGCACCTATCTAGGTACGGATATATACTCAAATCACAACCTCTTACTCGCGAAAATCAAAATGAGGTTCAAGAAAACAAAGTAATAAAACGAATTTTTAAAATTAGAGTAGAAATAGGAAATGTTTAGATTAGTGACTCAAAGGAATAAATAAAGAGAACGCTGAACGACAAAATGTATTGTGGATATCAATGAAGGAGAAGATTTGTGCCACAACAGAAAAAAAAGAAAAAAATAATTAATGAAAAAAATCGCGAAATCTGAGTTACAAAAATCATGGTGAATAAAATGAATGAAAAAGAAAGTTGTGAACTTTAAAGCAGGAAGACTGAAATTCATATAAACGAACAATAAGCAAAGAAGTGTGATCTAGCAAGCCAAAAAAATTAGCTTGAACGCGAATGCAAAGGAATTAGAAATCTGAAAAGCTGAAAACGATTTAACTAATCTATATCTACATCTATATATATATATATATACAAATGGACATGTATATCCCTATATTTCACTTTTCCGCAAAAACTACACATCGCACATGAATGGTGTTTGTATGTGGTAGTAGTCCCAAGCAATGTTCCCTCTAAGCTGCGCGGCTGCGCGGTCGCGCACTGCTCAAATTGTTGCCGCGCACGAGAATTTATGTGCCGAGCAAGCGAGCATGCACACCTATTTGAATTGTTGTTTACTTATTTCTCACTCTGTCTGCAACATGATTATTGCTGCGTATATTTCGAATAAATATATTAAATCATTGTTTGGCTCAGCTTAGCCTATATGGCTCTTGTGCCAAAAAACCAAAACAAACTATTAAATCATTGACAAAAGATAATATTTCGTATAAAAGTATGTTTTAAAATAAGTTTTAATCTCTACTTTATAATTAATTATTTTAATTTTTTTAGAAAAAAATATTTTATATATATATGCTCAGAAAAAATTTTTTGCTCAGAATCTGCTCAGCAAAATTTTTTTGGCTCAGAGAAGTATATGTTCCGCTCATCGACAAAAAAATTAGAGGGATCATTGGTCCCAAGTCTCCATTCTTGCATAGGGGTGGTTGCGTCTCGATAGCTATAAGGGTGCGGGAAATATGGGGTTGAAAGTGGATGACTTCGAAGATGTGTAACAATGGAAGTGTTAGGTAACAAAGAAAGTGTTAATATAAAGCGGCATGCAAGATTTACAGGCGGATTTTTGCGTTTTTGCGGGAAATCGAACATATTTTTAGACTGATGTAAAAATTCTCTAATTAGTCTGGAAACGGGGGATCTAATTCTTGCCTTCTGTGATAACGGGTAAAATTGGCTATAATGTAATTATCTTAATCTTCACTATGGTTATTTTTCTCCACAAATAAAAACCTGGCGAAGCGGGTCCTTGAAGCTAGTTAGTTAATAAACCCGGTAGAATAGATGAAATGCTCGAAAAAAGCAGAACGAAGAACGAAATCATTACGTTCGTTTAGAGCAAAAGTAAACAGAAAATTAAAGAATCTACAGATGATTTTCAAAGAAAAGCAATTAGAAGAAAAGTTAAATTTGTATCAGTCTGATTTAGATTTATTTAAACTTTATAGAGAAAAATTAAAAGTTTTAAAGTCTGCTTCACCATGATTTAAAATAAATGGAGAAGGATTAGTAAATGAATTAGAAAAAGTTAACTGATAAGCTGATAGGTAGAGATAAAAAGTATAGAATAAAATTGTTAAAATTCTAGATACTTTATTAAATTCGGGAGAAATAACAGCTGATATAGTGAAAAAATATTACTTAAAATTTTTAACTAAATAAATGAATAATTATATTAAGGTCAGAATCTATCTCAGCGAATTTAAAAAATAAATAAATAAATAAATAAATTGAAATCAGTCTTTAAGAATGCAGAAGAAATAGGGGAGATCGGGGCAAGATCGGCATGTTAAGCTTTACTTAAATTTTGTGTAATAAATACTGCTGTAAACTGAAAAAAAAG